CAGAGTACGTATTCTGATCTCATAATATAATTTTCATTAAGGATATTAATATAACACTGTCAAAAGCATAAACCTATCTTTTTTGTTTTAGTCAATTTTGGTGAAATCAATTTAGAAAAAAAAATTCAAAATTTCATGCTTTGTTCTTTATTTGCCTACTAAGGGGTAGAAGTTTTAAAATCTTTACCCTCTTTAAATTATTTTAGCTTATGCTAGACAACTCTGTATTTTGTTTTCTCTAGTGTTCAAGAAAATTATCTCCAGATACAAACCAAATTATGTGGTGATATTGTGTTTATGATCTAACAAATAAAGCTTGACTGAAGATCAGAGTGCAAAGCTAGCCACACTAGTCAGCCATAGAGGCCAGGCGGTACACACTTTAATCCCAGCACTTAGAAGACAGGCAGATGGATCTCTGTTAGTTCAAGGCCACCCTGAACTAAACAAAATTGATCCTGTCTAAAAGAGAAACAGCTCACACAAAGGTGATCTCAGCACTTGGGATCCCAAGCCTTTAATCCCAGCACTAGAGAGGACTATAAGGCAGGAGGAGACAGGAACTCATTGCAGTCTGAGGTTTGGTTGAGGGCAGTGCAACCTGAGGTTCAGTGGATGCAGGAAAAGATCGCCCTTTTGATCTGAGGTAGAGGAAGAACTAGTAACTGACCACTTTGCCTCTCTGATCTCCAGCTTTAACCCCAATATCTGTCTCTGGGTTTTCCTTATTGCGACCAATTAGAATTCAAGCTGCAATATTATACTAAAAATCACAAAACAGCTACACAAACTAAATCAACTGACCCTAATGTGTCATACTTAAATGGGTGTTGGTACTGGCAGGCAGGTTGACAAACGACAGCTATGGTCAGGAGTACTTATGTCTGTTTAGTAGAGCAAGTATGTATCACTGACAGTAAGACATGCCTGAGAGCATCCCTGACTAAACTTCAGTCTGTAAATGCTTATCCATGAGTGAAGAGAAGGCTGGTGCTGCATATGAAGATATGGAGATGTCCCAGACATGTGGATATCACCAAGTCCTACTGTAGTGACTCACACCCTGCCTTTCCTCCTTCACCATATGTTCTTTATGGTGATTCACTAAACTGTGTCATTGGGACAGCATATTTTAGTCAAGTTGGAAATGACAGACTTGTAGTTTTCCACAAATGTTAGAAAGATTTGGATGAACCAGATAGGATTAGACCAATTAGAATATGAAACAGGATCAACATCAGGTTATGGTAGAAAAATGAAGGTGTGTGTGTGTGTGTGTGTGTGTGTGTGTGTGTGTGTGTGTGTGTGTGTGTGTGTACACACATGCGCGCACGTTATACAGAATAGATACAGAAGCTAATGGAAATTGGAGTGCTTTTCATTGAGGAAATGGCTTGTTTTTAATCTCATTATTTGAAATAAGAACTGTTGGGGGAGTAGAATTGATGTTTTTGAGAGTAAGAATAACGGATACATCTAGGTTGATTTTATATTAATATTGTTTGATTCTGGGGGACTTACACAACAGTAATTTATTTCTCATAGTTCTGAAAGCTGGGAAGCCAAGGATTATGATGCTTTCTGTATTTTTGAGGGTTATTAATATCCGAACTTCAACACAGTCTCTTCCACGGGGTAGAAACATCATATTCTTACATGGTAGAATTAGGAAGGCAAAAAAAGAGAGAAAATTTTCCATCAAAACCCTTTATATAAAGCAAATAACCCATCCAAGAGTGTGGAGTCCTTATGTCTCAGTCACCTCTTGAATGTCCCATCTCCTTCCTCACTATGTAGAGATTCATGGCTGCTCAAGGTACTGAGGATAACTGGACCCTTGAGTGTTCAGCCCTAAATAGGGCATTTATACCTCCTCTTCAAGCCTCAGGGGGCCGGGACAGAAAGAAAGAAAGAACTGGAAATAGGGCATGTCTTCTGGGCATGGCACAGTCAATGAAATCATGACCTCACAAAACTGGGCCAATCATGGGTTGGGGAAGGGCTCATGGAGCACTACTTCTCCCTGATGAACTACTGTCTATCTTGACCGATTCCAGGTAAAAGACAGTCACTGTCTCCAGTTATGTACCTACTGAGAAGCCTACCTGGCTACAATGGGTAGTTCCAAACCCATTGTCTTACATACAATTCTGGTTATTTGAGACAGTGGGTCTCAAAACAACAACAAAAATCCACCAGCCAATCAACCAAAACAAGCAAACAACCCAAAGACATGAATCTGAGTAAGGCACCTGTGGGATGGGTAACAGGTATGTGGGTAAGATTAAAAGGTTAAAAGGTGGAGGTTATAATAATTGGAACTTAATACAAATATGAAATTGTCAAAGAGGAGATGCACTAAAAATTATCCTCACAAGTCACACCTTCCAATGTTGGGAATTAACTTTCATCATGAAGTTTTGAAAGAAACAGAAACAACATAACAAGTGATGGGAGATATTCTTAGGTACACAATAGGCAGTTTGGTACACAGGTTTGGAGGTATCATTCTTAAGGCCCTTGGATGCAGATGTACAAATTATTATGTGTATCATTGTTTCTTTAAATGAAGTGCCAACAAATGAAATGGCTTCCTCAAGGAGTGTGAACTACACATGGACTTTAAACATTTCTCCTCCTCCTCCTCACTCTCTCACACATACCTGTGACCCTTACGTTGGCAAGGTGAATGGATGTGCAAATAAGCATGCACAGAATCTACAGGTGTACTGATATGGTCTAGTTCTTTATAATTCACTGGTGGGAGAGATGAACTTAAAACAGCATTATAGATAAAGTTATATCCCTTTCTTTGTATAAACGGCAAAAATTCTCTGAGGGGTCCTTTGGCATTGTAAGTACTTTAATAGTATTGATCCACTTTTTATCAGCCCAGCTTCGCTTCCATGCAGAAAGCTGGAGTTCACTGTTATTTTTTAAAGGATGCCGTGTATTGGAATGGCCACCCATACTAGAATGGATGGGATAGAAGGGGGAGCTGGCGTGTTCAGAGGCCACTGAAGTTGAAAAAAAAGAATGAGGGGCTCTTTTAATTAGCTACGACTTTTTAAGAAAGAGATGGTGCCTGTTCTCTTGACTGCAGGAGCAGAGTATGAGTGATCAAGAACAATAGCTTGGTTTGTTCCACCTTCTGATTTTCTGCCCATTTTTCAGTCACTTTAATCAGAAGGCAAGAGATTTTGAAATATAGCTCCCAGTCCAATCACTGCTTCAGAGCAGAGTGTAGGTAAGCGGACCCTGGAATTCAACCTGCACAGCACTTCATGGAGGAAAACCGAAAACCGGTGTTCTTTAGATAGTAAACTGCATGAAGAAAAACTATATTTATTTTGATCTTTGAGACTCCAGAGCCTAGCACAGTGCTTGCCATTTGAAATGCTCAGTGAATAAGTATCTAGTCCCATCACTGGCAAAAAAATGTAAATGAGCTGTCATGATTACCAAGTAACACAACTGAGTCTTAAATAAATATATGTTAACACCATATTCAAAATGTTTTACAGTATACTTTTTGGAATTGAACATTTTTGTCATATACCATAATCTATCGTTATGCAAGTAATTTTTAAGGGCTGCTCTCTTGAAATTACTTCGGGTAGGCTTTTTTTAAAAAAAAAAAGTGTGTGTGTGTGTGATCGCGACTGTAAAGCTATACGGAGGTCCGAGTGTGTGTGTGTGTGTGTGTGTGTGTGTGTGTGTGTGGTGTGTGTGGTGTGTGTGTGTGTGTGTGTGTGTGTGTGTGTGTGTGTGTGGTGTGTGTG